CTTGCAATCCTCCTGCCTCAGCTTCCCGGAGTGCTAGGATTACAGGCATGTGCCACCACACCCAGCTCCATCAATTTAAATTTTATGACTTTTTCACCACAACTCAAAATCCCCTCAAAATACAGCTGCCCACCTGTTGCTTTGGCTCTTTCTTGTGGAGGAGGAGGGGAGTACCACGCGCCGCTCCTCAGCCATCTCAGAATCCCACAGTATTTATCAGACTCCTGTTTGCCAGCAGAGGTAGCATCGCTGGTGCTCCGCAGCGAAGCGGAGGCCCGTTGGTGTAACTGCACATTCAAGCCGGGCCCCTAAAACCTCAGATTTTTCCTTCATCCCCATCCAACAGTTAGTCACCCGGAGCCGGACTTTGTTCTCAGGTGTCCGTCTGCACATTTCAACCCCTGCCTTTCCACTCCCACGGCCGCATTCAGACTTTCCTGGTGTGCTGCCAAGGCTGGGGCTGTTACAGCCTAACCATGGCTGTCTTCAAGCTCCCCGCCCCTGCCACCAACACCGTGAGTCATTTTCCACTTCATTAGCGGAGGGATTCTCCTGAAAGAGAGCTTATCGTTCCAGCAGGACTTCTGACCCAGGAGGGCTAGAATCCACCCTGTGGGGCTCCTGCCTCATTGGCAACAGCACCTGCCTGTGAGCCCTCACGGGCCCTCGCGTCCTCTGCACCTTCCTGCCAGGCCTTGCGCACAGCCCTTCTGCCCAGGCTGGCGTTTGGGGGTCTGTGTGGTGAATCCCTGCCCGGCTTCTGACGCTGAGCCCACAGATCTCCCCTGGAAACCTTCCTCCCCACTGTGTGCCTCGCCTCACATCACACCGTGACCTTGTACTCCTCAGGCCTGCGAGATGGGTTATTACTCAGTGGGATGATTGTATGTCAGTGTTTAGTTTTGCCCCCCCCCCCACAGCGCCTGGCATCGCACCTAGCACCTGAGAACTATGTGATTGAATGAATGAGCTAATGAGCTAATGAACAAGCGAATGCATTACCAAGAGTCTCAGATTCTTTCACTGGGGACAGAAGTACATAGTGGTAGTGGAGTAACATGCATTGGCAATTGTTTTTGCATGTAAAGCCCCTCCATTCTGTGCCATAGCATGGTACTGAGGATGGAGCCTGGGGACACTCTAGTACAGAGCTACCACCCCCCAGCACCCCACCCCTCTTCCATAGTACTGAGGATTGAGCCCAGGGCCTTCTCACGGAGCTACGTTCCCCAGCCCCTTTTAAATTGTGAGACAAGATCTCACTAAGCTGCCCAGACTGTGCTCAAACTTGTGATCCTCCAGCCTCAGCCTCCCTGAGTGCTGGGATGACCGACGTGCACACCACACTCAGCTGTTGTCCCTTTTCTCATTTCCATCTGCAGCAACTTTAGTGAGATTAATAGAGCAGGATTTTTTTTTAAATCCAGTTTGCAGACTCAAAGTGCACAAATAAATCCATAAAGAATGAGGCGTGGAGCATGGGGTGCTGATCTGATCGGGGGGCTTGGGTCAGGCATGTGGGAACCTTGGGCAGCTACTTGCTGTAACTCTGTAAAGAAACTGCATAGAAACTGGGTGAAAAGCCAGGCATGGTGGCGCACGCCTGTAATCCCAGCACTCTGGAGGCTGAGGCAGGAGGATTGTTGTGAGTTCGAGGCCAGCCTTGGCTACAAAGTGAGCTCAAGGCCAGCCTGAACTGCATAGCGAGACCCTGTCTCAAAAAGACAAAAGAAAGAAGAAAGAAAGAAAGAAAAGAAGGGTGCAAGTAGCTCAGATTCTAGAGCACTCACCTAGTCTGCCTGAAGTCCAGGGTTCCATCCCCTATTTAAATCTATTTTTGGTCTTGCAGAAGCTTTAGCTGGATACCTGACCCCTGCCTTAGCTCTGTTTGGGGGTCTGGGTGCTGAGGCTGTTCTGTCTTGAGCCACCTTTGGGATCTTTCCTGCCCCTCATCTGCTGATGGTGTAGCGAGAGATCACAGGAGGCTGCCGTTCTATCTTAAATTAACCTCAGAGTAAGTTTTCTTATCCCTATTGCTGAGAGAATGCCAAGCAGGGAAGTGGTTTAAAATAGCCCTGCTGTTTACACTACTTTGAGCAAGCATATTTATGAACAGGAAGGTCATGTGCTTTTTCCCTCTTGACACAAGTCACCCACCACCACCCCCGCATCCTCGCCCCATGCTGTAAGAATTGTCTTTCAGAGACAGTAGCAAAAAGTACTTTGTCTGAAAGACATTATTACATCCGAACAAAACCAAGCTCAAAGCTTACATTCTGTCTGATTCCACTGAGATCATATTGTCAAAGTGATGAAATTACAGTGGTGGAGAAAAGACCAGTTTTTTTTCTAGTGGCCATGTTAGAGGTACAGGGTAGCATGACAGAACTCTTTTCTCCCTTCCTTCCCTCCTTCCTTCCTTCCTTCCTTCCTTCGATAGAACAATTCTGTACCTGTGATTAAAATTTCATAAAACTACATCTTCCTTCCCCCTCCCCCAAATAAAACAGAAACTAATAAGGTCTGTATTTCAGTGAATAGCTGTGTACAGTGTCACTTTCCTGGTCTTGATCAGTGTACAATGATTATGTGAGATCTTTATCATTGGCAAAAGCTTGGGGGAAGGGTGCGCAGGAACTGCGCGCTCTTTTTGAACTTCTTATGGATCTAAAATTATATCAATGAAAAGGTGCTTTTTTTTCTTCTTTTAAAGAAGTACTTTAGGGGCTGGGGAGATAGACCACTCTCGCCCAGCAAGCTAAGGCCCTGGGTCCATTCTCAACACTGCATACCCAAACCAAAATCTCAAACTCAGTCTTTTAGCCTTGTAGAGCTCATATTCTGTTTGTTACTAGAGCTATGATGTCATCACAGGGCATATGGTTTCTGGAAAATTCCCTGAACTGTTTTATTGGTGGATATACCTAAGCTCCTGGAAAGTGTCTGTCGCTTAGTGAATACTTAGCAAGTACTGTGGAGTGAAGGAACGCCGTGCAGCTAGAGTTGCAAGGTAATAAGCTACTTCATCTACGTAGTATGTTCTTGTGTTTGTTGCCTTAGGTAGAAAGATGGACCCTAGATTTAAAAATGAAGAAATAAGATTGTTTAGTTTATTTGCAGGATTGCTTAGTCCAGAACTCAAAGAATTGCCCCAATTGTGCTCCTAGAAGTTGCTTCATCAGCAGTTGAGATTGTCCTTCCCTCAAAGGAACATTCTGTTCCTGAACATCCCTTAATGATATTTTTCAGATCCGTGGCATAGGCACTTTTCAAACCAACAGAGGACTAAGCAAGTAGGAAGGGTGTGAACAGGAGACTTCTGTAAGAGGGGTGACCCAGGGCAGAGGGCTCCAGCAGAGTTCTCCCTGGAAAGCCACAAGGGTTTGGACTAGAAATTGTCCACATCTATTCCAGTTAGGTGTTTTTTGTTCATCTGCATAAATCCCACCTCAATTTTCTTCTATTACTTCTATTAGTGTGGTACATTTGTTATGATGGAGATACCATACCTGATATGTTATTATTAACTGGAAGTTCTGTTTCCTCCGTTCCTACTTCCTGTCCTTTTTCCATCCCAGAAGCCCCTGCAGGGTCCCATATTCTACTTAGTCATCTCGGTATGACAGTTTCTCATCTTTCCTTTGTTTTTAATGACCTTGGCACTTTGAGGATTATGGGTCAGATGTCCTGGAGGATGTCCCACACAGTTTGAACCTGCTGATATTTTCCTCTTGATTAGCCTGGAGTTTTATGTTGTCAAGAGGGACACTGCAGAGGGGAAATGCCATTCTCCTCATCTCATACCAAGGGTACATTCTACCAAAATGACTATCACCGGCCTTGGTCACCTGGCTGGGTCCTGGTTATGAGTTTGTCCCATCTAAAGTTCTTCATCTTTTCCCCCTTTCCCACTGGACTGTAGGAAGGAGGTCACTCTATGCAGCCCACGTTGAAAGGGTAGCGGTTGGGCTCCACTTGCTTGAGGAAGGAGCATCTTCATAGAGTTGGATTCTTCTTCACAGGAAGTGCTTCTGTTCTCTATTTATTTAATCATTTATTTATCAATGTAGACTTGTGGGCATTTATTTTATACTTTGGGTTATACTTCAGTGGTACTTCGTTTTCTTGCTCAAATGTGTTCTAACTGTTGCTCTTTCAGTTGGCTTATGTGTCTCTTTGACATACACTGTCGTGTGTGTGTGTGTGTGTGTGTGTGTGTGTACGTGCATGTACGTGTGTGTTGTAAGTCATGTTAAATTGCACACCAGGCTCATCTTATGTCTGTGGTACCCTGATCTGAGAATCAGCCATTTCTCCAAGGAACCTGGTTCCTTTTATTGGAGGATAGTGTTAGAAACCAAGATCGGAGTAACCTTTCTATTTAAAATCAATGGATCAATTTTTTTTATTTAAAGGATGTCTTTAAAGCTCTAAAATGATAGACTTTTTCTTTACTTAGTACTTGTGTCTTCTCTTAGATTTGTTATAATGTCTTGTATTTATATTATAATTCCCTGTGAGTTAGTTTTTACTATTCAAAAAAGGATTCATTACAATAGATGAAACCCTGAAAATTTCATGGGATTTATCCTATTTGTGATACTCTAAAACGTCCGTAGCATAGTGCCATAGTATGTGCTGGGGACTAAGCAGCAGGGTGCTGGGTGAAGCTCAGAGCCCGCTTTTCTGGGTGTTGGGGTCAGCAAGTCCCATGTGGCTTTGTGTTAGGTCTATGCAGTACTGTTTTTGTCCCTAAGGTCTCACCGTTTGGGATCTGAATGAATGCAGACAACTGCTTATGGGGACCAGGACTGCTTTGCCCTGATAACTATGGTTTTATTCCAGGTTTGGTTTTCTATAGCCAGCACACTTTTTAAATTAACTTCTTTTTTTGGCATGAGGCAATGAACCAAGAAATAAAAGTGCGCTGACCACAGAATTCTGGTGAAGAGCATTTCTATTTCCTGGCGACTGGTTTCACAAGTGTCCTTTTCCTCCAGGTCTGACAGAGATGGCAATCTTCAGTTGCGAGGCCCACAATGACAAAGGGCTGACCGTGTCCAAGGGTGTGCAGGTCAACATCAAAGGTGAGCGGCATGGCCAGGCCCCTCGAGTGTGTTCCGGGAGCTGATGGGAGACCAAGGGCGAGCTCTTACACCAAAGGGCCCGGGTTTGAGTCCTGGCTTTCTTTGTGACCTTGGACAAGTCATTTCACCTCTTTGGTTTCCGTGTTCCCCTCTGGAAAATGGAGGTAATTACAGAATCTTCTTATTGTTGAAACTGAATGAGTTAATACCAGAAGACTCACAACAGTTCCCGTCACGTACGTCTTCACAAAACCTTATTTAATTTAACCAGGCTTACTCCAAAAATAAAAATAGCTCAGATGTTTACTTTGATCACATGAGCTCCTATTTTCACTTTTTCCACTTCCCCCGGGTACTTGTCCTCATAAAACCTCCAAGAGCCCTGGGAGCGGGGTCACTTGGGGGCATTGATCTCAGCAATGGGCTCTATCCTTTCGGGGTCACTTGGGCCAGACGCAGGTCTCTGCTAGCTGCTGGCAGAGGGACGGGGTGGAGTGCAGACAGCAGGCTGCAAGCTCCTTCCCTCTTCCTCCTAATCTGCCCCTCCCCTGGCTTCCTCTGAGCTTAGATTTCAGTGGGGCTCTTTCTGGGAAGTGAATTACAACGGGATTAAAGACACAGGTCTGAAAGTCCCTCAGGCAGTAGCGACATTCCAACCCATCTCTCTTGTCCTCCTCCTCCCCTGTATTTGAAGATATTTAAACCCAAAACTTGAAAGAAAAGGAAAACATACAGACAAATACTATCTTTTTATCTCTCTTCGTGTCATCTTCTTCTCACAGAAATTCAAGCACACATTTTATGTTTTACTATTTGATCTTAATTTAGGTATTGAGCAGTAAGTGTATCGGGTTTGTATTTCTCTCATCTGATCCTTGGACAACACCACAAGGAAAAAGTAGAATGTGCTTGATAATTCGTTAATAATAAGTCTGGGAACATGTTGAAGAGGATGCAAAAATGAAAGAAGTTATGCTCTAAAAAGCCACTAGAGCTGGGTGTGGTGGTACACACCTGTCATCCCAACACTCAGGAAGCTGAGGCAGGATTGTTGCAAGTTCGAGGCCAGCCTGGACTACATAGTGAGACCCTGTCTCAAAAAACAAAACAAAACAAAACAAGGCACTAACTAGTTTTAGTTTCAGCGGATGAACCGGATGAGAAGTTATGAAAGGGCATTTTCTAAACGTTTATTGGAATTTTTTAAAAAGTGAGCAAACCAAAAGTGAATACTAGAGGAAGTGTATAACTTCCTTCCTGTTTTACAAATCCCATTTTTACCAGTTTCAATAGGCATGTTCGGAATGTCAAAAATATGTGAGGAGGTGTACGTTTGCAATGGTCTTTTCCTAAAATATAAACTTAAAAGTTGAAAATCTATGAAACGAGAAGCGTTCCTTTTTAGACTTCATGTAGGATCTCAGCTGAGGTTTCTTTTTAAAATACATCCTGATTCCAAAACTTGCGTTTTTGGTTTTCATTTATTATAAAATTTATGTCAGAGCTACCAAGACTCCCTTCTTCTAAACTATTATGGCTATGACGAACGTGGTCAGGTTCTGATGAGGAAAAGGCAGATCCTTTGTTAGTTCTGCAAATAATCTGCTTGGGGAAATGAGTCCAACAATATGCCAGTTATTCCCCACTCGCTGAGCTGCACATGGGCTAGGAAGACTGAGCCCCCTGAATGTGAGACCCATTGCCTGCTCCATACGGTCCTATCCCTGAGCCCCAGGTCTCCCGTCCATCCCACTGTCTCCCCCCGCACCTGGCCTGGGCTGCATACCCGCGCCGCTCTGTTTACTCCTCGACACAGCTCCACGGAGCAGTGTTCTTACGATCCCCATTTCCAGACCATCTAACTATGTTCACGGCAGGCATGGGGCTGTACCCAGGGCCGGCGGCCGGTTCCCTGGGAGCCCAGCCCCCAGTCCCTGGGGCTCAGGCCCTTCTGCTTGCTGTCCCTCAACATAGGCCTCAGTGTCCTGGCGTGGGGCACCAGCGCTGAGGTGAGGCACAGCTGAGCTCAAGGCCTTGTTCTGTTCTCATAACCTCTCTGGGACCTTTGGCACGTTTTAAACTCTTCGGTGCTGGTCCCTCACGTGTAGACAGGGCTTGTAAGACCCCGCTCTACCAGGGCTCCATAATGATTATGTGACGACCCCACAGCGCCTGGCACACCGTAAGCACACAAGAACATTCGCCATCACTTTTACTATAAGTGGAATTATGTCAAACGATTAAATTTAGCACAAAGAGATAGGATTCTCCAAACTTTTGATGCTTCTTGGGTTCTAACTAAAGTTGCTTTCTTTGTCCAACATGCAATTGAGGTCATTGCACAATCACTGTATTCACTCAGGTATGGGTCGCTTTAACTGACTCTCCTGTTTCCTAGGCTTGGAAAGCTTCTGCTTCCTCTCCCTCCCCCTCCCCTCTCTCTCCCTCCCCCTCCCCTCTCCCTCCCCCCCATCTCCTGTAACATCTCATCTTCTGTGCTCAGAGCATACTTACCATGGTTAATGTGGGTCTCCCCTACAGAGCCAGGTGCTCCACGAAAACAAGAGGGCTGTGGCTCTTGGTCCCTGTTTCTTACTGTACAGCCTGAGCACACAATAGGGTTAAGAGCTTGTGCTCCATGAAGAACATGAATGTCTCCATGTCCTTTTCTAGTTAAAAGGTGTCCACACCTCATCAATGAGCAGGAAAGTGAGTCTGTATTTATCTCCTGAGGCCCAGGCAGAAGCATCCCCTCGCTGGAACACGTCTGTCCAGACCAGCGCCATTACCCGCTAGCCTAGAGTGGCTCCTCTTGGAAATGTGTGTTCCCTTTGGCTAATCCCAGGGCACGAAAACAAGCGTGGTGTTAATGCGTTTGTTTGGCGCTCTGGCCTCCTGCAGTGCATAAGTGTGTTTACATGTGTGTGCCTTTGTTTTGATGTAGCAATTCCCTCCCCACCGACGGAAGTCCGCGTCCACAACAGCACAGCGCACAGCATTCTGGTCTCCTGGGTCCCTGGTTTTGATGGCTACTCCCCATTCAGGAACTGCAGCATTCAGGTAAACCCCCGGGATGAAGAAGGGAAGGGGTGACTGGTGGTCTGGGAGGCAACCTGATTTTTCTTGCTCCTTAGAACAATCCCAGAGATCATTTGTCCTCTTCTGTCCAGGGTCCCTTGACCTTCCCATTGTCCACCCCTGCGCACAGTTTTGACCCTGTCCATAACGCTGCTTCCTTCACTCATGTGGTCCAGGGCCCAACCACAAGAGAGGTATGTTTCCCAGGAAAGCCAGGGAGAATTAATGGTTAGTTACAAAAGCACATCCCTAAAGGAGGGCTGACTGGTGACCAAGAGTTCAGGAGACCAGGCATTCCCCATTGTGGCTCGTCTTAGACTGGTGCCACAAATGACAGACGGTGTGACAAAGATGGAGCACACATCGCCCTTTAGCCAGTGTCTCCCAAGGAAGCCTGGGAGACTATAGGCTTTATAATCTTAGGCCATCTTTAACTACCTGAAACTAGTGTGGGACAGTGCTGAAAGAAATCTAACCTTCAGATGACAGCTTGTCATGATGTAAATGTTGCTCCTGAGCGTTCCTTTGATAAGAATGGAAGTGGTGGCAGTAACATGCTATTCACTGCCGAGTGCCCACAGTGGCCCCAGAACCCTGCAAACATGCTCTTTCGGAAAGTACACAGTGCTGTAGGCTCAGGCACTCACAGCCTGTGACTGGCAGAGCAGGAGTCCAAGCCTGGGAAGTTCAGACGCCAAAAGCAGAGCTCAGGACCGTCAGCTCTGCAGCCGAGAGATGTAGCCTGTGTGGGAGCAGGTTACCAAACACACAGGCAGAATGCGCTGGAAATAGGAATGTATTCTGTCTCGTACTTTATCGGAAGTAGGGATAGCAATGCTCTTAGTCTCCTAACCTGCAGGCGTGGTGGCACACATCTGTAATCCCAACACTCCAGGAGGCTGGTGAGGGAGGATCACAACTTAGTGAGACCCCTCTCAAAATGAAGAATAAAAAAGGACTGAGAATGTTAGCATAGTACAAAGGTCGAGGGTTCAAGTCCTAGTACTTCAAACAAACCAAACATACATATTAACCTGATGTGCATCAATCATGCTAACTCTTAGAAAAGCGACTTCCAAAGAATTTTGTGTTGACAACCAGATGTTTTTAATATCAAGTGGAATTAATTTCTCTGCTCTTAATGCCTCCTACTCTTATCTAACACCTGTTCCTTTTCTGAGGACTAAAAGCCTGCATTATTCCTGATATAGCCTCCACCTTCACCCCTGCCATCTCCAGCCTTGCTTAATTCTTGTCCAGCTTTACTTGTAAACCTCCCAAATGCTACTAAGTGTTAGTAATTTTTACACATATGATTCCTCACCAGGGATATTTTTCTTTTGCAAAAAACATTTTATATCATTCACCTATTTAAAGTACAATTCAGGCTGGGTGTGGTGGTGCAAGCCTGTAATCCCAGTACTCAGGAGGCCTTATTCGGAGAGTCATGCAACCATTGCCACCTTTTCATTGTGTCTGTATGACTAAGTGATATTTATACGTAGTTTCTCGTGTTTTCTTATATCTTTTTCTTGGTTTTGATATCGGTGTACTATAGCTTTGTATAATGAACTGGAAAATATTCCTTCTTTTTCTATTTCTTTGAGGAGTTTGTGAAAGATCAATGCTCTGCTTTAAATATTTAATAAAATTCACCAGCAAAGCCATCCAGGCATGGGCTTTTCTTTGTGGGAAATTTCTTTTAATTTTAGCTCTACCTTTTTACTTGGAATAGGTCTACTTAGATATTTATTTCTGCTTGAGTCAATTTTGATAGTTTGGGTGTTTTGAGGAATTTGACCATTTCATTTATCTAATTTGTCAATATAAAATTGTTCATAGTGTTCCATTACAATCCTTTTCATTTCTTTGAGGTTAATATTAATGTCTTCCTTTTCATTCCTGATGTTAGTAACTTGTGTCTTCTCTTATTTTTCTTCATTAGTCTAGCTAAAGGTTTGCCAGCTTTATTCATCTTTTTGAACAAGCAACTTTTGGGTTTTAAATTTTTTCCCTTGTCTCTTTATTTCTGTCTTAGTTTTCATTATATTCTCTTTGCTTTGCCTTAATTTGCTCATCTTCTAGTTTCCTAAGGTAGAAGATTACTGATTTGAGATTTCTTCTTTTTTAATATAAGCATTTATACCTTATATTTCCCTTTCAGCCATGCTGTAGCTGTATCCCAGATGTCTTGTTGTGCTTTTATCCCAAATTTTTAAAATTCTTTTTCTTGTGAGGTTTTTTTTTTGTCCGTTTTGGTTATTTAGGACTGTGTTGTTTAATTTCCATATAGTTGTAAATTTTTCAAGTGTTTTTCCTTTGTTGATTTCCCACTGTGTTTGGGGAATATTTTCAGTATGATTTCAGTCCCATGAAGTTTACTAAGGCTTGTTTTATAGCCTCGCATATGTTCTATCCTGGGTAATATTTCCCATGTACTTGAGAAGAAACTACTACAGTCGAGTGGAGTGTATAGTGTGTGTTGGTTGAGTTTAGTTTGTTCGTAGTCTTGTTTAGTCTTCTGTTCCCTTGTTGGTCTTTTGCATAGTGGTTCTATCTGTAATTAAAAGTGGAGAGATGAGGTCTCACTGTTTATTTCCGGACTATTTCTCCCTTTATTCTACCAGTTTTCGCTCTGTGTATTCTGGAGCTCTATTGTTGGGAACAAGCACGGCCTGCTGGTAGGCGTTTATATAAATGGACACAGCTAAAGCATGCTTTTAAAAACTGTCACCAAGCCACCCAGAAGGTGGAAGATGGTCACACACAAGCTTCACTGCTCTGTCTTTGCTGTGGCTCCTGGGAGAAATCTTCCTGGGGCAGCCAGATTACAGGTCCCTCTCACTCACCCTGGATCCTGTGGTGCTCGATGTGGCCACTCTGTCTTTGCCCCGCCCCTGCTAGCTCAGTCCTCCACTTCGTTCCTTCTCTTTTCCATCTCTGGTGGGATTACTAGATTTAGTAAATAAGAATCAGGACACCCAAGTAAATTTCACAAGTATTCTTGTGATTTATTTACATTAAAAAATGTTATTTATCTGAAATTGATACTTAACTGAGTATCCTATATTTTCTCTAGAAGTCATACTTTGATAGTCTATTGATTAATCTTGTTTTCTCATTCCTGGAAGGACCAAGTTTGGCTCTGTAGTTACGTTACAATTTTAAACTCTGACTTGGTAACACATGAATACTTTGGCTGAGATTCAGATCCACTCACTAGCAGGACACACCCTCTTACTTCCTTTGGTCCTGACATCACTTCCTTTCTTCACCCATTTTTTGGGGCCACATATTCTATTTCTATTTTTGACTCTTCTGCACACATGTTCTCTTTTCCCCAGAAGCCCCTGAGAAGCACTGTTATTGAAATGCCATCTTCTTCCAAGAACTTGTTCTTTAAGAATGTCACCGTGCCTGGAAATGTTCCACATGGGGCCTGGAAATGGGATGGGGACAGAGAGCCAAAGCTGTCCTCCGCCTTAGCTTTAGTGGCCATTCACCAGGAAGTAGGTGCATACTCTACTGTGAAAAAACAAAGGGCAGTCTCTGCCAACAGCCACTGCCAAGATAAGCACATGGCCCTGGCTTCTCCCCCGGTGGCTCCTCAGGCCAACTGGTACCTTCCTGTCACCTACAGGGTCTGAGTCAGAGGTGGAATTGGCCCCCACACCACCCTCATGGCATCCACCAGGGAACATGGAGTTCCAAAATGTTCACTTATGGCCCCTAGCCCTCAATTTCAAACACACGTCTCCCGAAATAACAGTATTGTGTAGCCACACCCGATAACTGCATGCCTGTTACTAAAGGGAATACATTTTACCGATTGAAGATTTTTCCCCCAAAATTGCTTTTGGTTTCTTCTGTTTTACCCAATACTATTCAGTCTCTTCTGATTTTTTGAGTATGATATGTTGTAGAAATTTTGAAAAACCAGGGAGTGGGGGAAAATTCCCAAATTCTCTCGTAACACCATTCCCAACAGGAGGTGTGCTTAAAAAAAAGGGTAGAAATTTGACATAGGACTAGATTGGTGCTGGGAATCCCCCTCGCTTGCCTGCGCATACAGACGTAGAGAGGCTTGTGGAGTTTGTGGAGGGAAAAGTAAAGAAGTATGCATTTAAAGAAGTTTGGAGAAAAGTTTGCTGGTTGAGATACAAGCGACTCTTCCTGTATTCTTCCCTAACGTCGTAAAATACACCTTCTCTGTGTGTCCTCGTGGAGTTGAATTTCCAGCAGTCAAACAGAGTGAGGATATAGGACACTACTAAAATTAGTCTCAAGGTGAAAGCGGGGATCCTCAGGTTACATTATGAAAAGAAAACAGATTGAAAAACAAAAAAGCCAAGAAATCCATCTTCTAAAGCAGGATTTGGGAAGGATTGCCTTTAAAGGGCCAGACGGTAAATATTTTAGGCTGCGCCAGCCACAGACAATATCTGTTGCCTGTGCTGCATAAAAATCAAGAAGAAATCAAGAATTGAGATGGGTCCAAGAGAGGAGGGGCCACTTTATTTTCTTTTCTAATACAGTGTGAGTTCAAATCATTATACTATGGCCATGTAATTACTAGCTGTTACCTGCCACAGTGAAAATCCTTGCTCTGGGCATTTCCCCGAGGTCCCCAACTGCTGCCCCAGTAGCATGAGGAACACTCAGTAACGCTGGTGTTCCTCAGGAACGCTTCCTTTAGGCCACGCTCGTCTTCCTGTGTGGCCTAAAGGAAGCAGGTCCTTCCCGCAAACAGAGGAAGCCCACGCAGGCCGAGTGCATGTGTGCCCGTGTCCAGCATTCCCACCGCCTTACTAATGTGTCCGCGTCTCTGCTCCTCATTCAGGTCAAGGAAGCTGATCCTCTGAGTAATGGCTCAGTCATGATTTTTAACACCTCTGCTTCACCACATCTGTATCAAATCCAGCAGCTGCAAGCCCTGGCTAATTACAGCATTGGTGTGTCCTGCATGAACGAAATTGGCTGGTCCGCAGTAAGCCCGTGGATTCCGGCCAGCACGACCGAGGGAGGTAATTCCTAAGACTCACAATGAGTATTTCCCCCAGTGGCACATGATTAAAGAAACCTTTTCCAGCAGCCTGATTTTGAGTGCGTGTACACTTTGCTTTGTCTGGACTTTGACTCTGGAAATGCGTTTTATTAAGGTGGCCAATCCGATGGGAGAGAAGCTGTTTCTTTTGGTGTTGTGTAAGCATTTAGTGAGCAAACTTGTATGTACTGTGTGTTTCTTTTACGTAGGAAGATACTAGCATACTTTTTATTTTGCTTTTGTTTTTTCTTTTTGGTTTTTTTCCAGTACTGGGAATTGAAATCACGACCTTGCGCTTAGCAGGCAGGCGCTATGCCGCTGAGCTAAATCCCCAGCCCCTAGCATACTTTTTAAACCAGTATTATTTTTAATTAAAACAGAATTAGACACAAAAATCGTTACATATAGCATCAAGCTGAGGAAAACAAATGATACGAGGATGGCTACTGCTTAACCAAGCAGCCACTCCATACCAGGCTTTATAGATGCTTTACGTGTGTGATCGCATAGGATCCTCGCAGTACCCTGTGCTGTAGGCACCGCTGTCTCTGCCTTGCTCAAAGCAAATTTTGTTTATATGTTTAGAGATGATCTCAGACTTTTCCCTTCTGTGACTATTGGAATGACGATTGCAGCTCTGTGAACTGTGGATTGCTTAGTTTCTGTTATCCCCAATTCAGAGTACTCAATTACACAGACTTTTTCCTGCTGTATGATAGCTAGCACTCCAGTCTCAGTGCAGATGGAGGGATAGGGCAGAAATTTTGATGGTTTAAGCCAGGTGTGGTGGTGCACGCCTGTAATCTCAGCACTCAGGAGGCTGAGGCGGGAGGATCGTGGCAAGTTCAAGGCCAGCCTGGGCTGCAAAGTAAGCTCAAGTCCAGCCTGAACTGCATAGCGAGACCCTGTCTCAAAAAAGACAAAAAAAGAAAAAGAAAAGACATTTTGATGGTTTATGATCTGAAAATGCAGCTCTGTGGTAGAGCATTTGCCAAGTTTGTGCAAGGCCCTTGGTTCCATCCCCAGTCCTGAAAAAAAAAAAACCTTATTTTGAGGGCTTGATTCTTGCATCCATTCTCTCTTCAAATAAAGAAGAAAAGCTTTTGAAAACAATTTTGAGCTGGGCTTGGTGGCACACGCCTGTAATCCCAGCACTCAGGAGGCTGAGCCAGGAGGATTGTTGTGAGTTCCAGACCAGCCTGGGCTACAAAGTGAGCTCAAGGCCAGCCTGAACTGCATAGCGAGACCCTGTCTCAAAAAAAAAGAAACCCTGTCTCAAAAAAAAAGATATGCTGTGGTGCCACCTTTATTCAGTTCAAAATGCTTTCTAGAAAATATGTTTTGACTTATTCTTTGATTCATTATTTAGATATATAATTTAGTTTCTAAATATTTTGGATTTTTCTAGAGATCTTTGTGGTGTTAATTTCCAGTTTAGTTAGGTTGAGGCCAGAGAACATAATTTGTATGACTTGACTCCTTTTAAGTGTATTGAGACTGGTTTTTGTGGCCCAGAGTATGGCTCTCTTGGTAACCATATCGCTCATATTGAGGTGGAATGTTCTGGAAATAATACCTAGGTCAAGTTGACTGACAGACTTTTCAAATCTGAATTCTTATTAATTTTTTTGTCTACTTGTTCTGTCAATGTGTGCTTCATACAAGTGGTATATATTTTGTTATATATATGGTATGAGTGGTATATATTTTGGTGTATATATGTTTTGGTGGGGTATTTAACCCAGAGCCTCACATATGCTAAGCACACGCTCTACCACTGAACTATACTCGTAGCCCTACATTGCTTTTTAGTCCATTTACATTTACCCTTAAACTGGGGTATTAAATCCATTAAAGTACAAGGTTATCGTCAAATGGGTAGACTGAAGTGCATCATAATTTTTATTTGTTTTTCTGTAATATGTTCCCTTTTTTCTTTTTTCCTTTAGTTTAGTCAGATACTTTTCTGGTCCTGTTTTATCTCCTTTGTTAGTGTGCTAGCCGTAACCTTTTCTGTTCTTTTGTAGTTTCCTTATGGTTTGTAGTATGTGTGTTTAACTTAGCACAGTTTACTGCAACTGATTTGTCTCACTTTGTGCCTTACAATAGTCCGGTCCTGTTTTCCTCCTTCCAACGTTTTTGCAATTGTTGCCATATGTTTTAGTTGAAGGATGTTGTAACTACATATTACATTATTATTTTTGTTCAGCCAGTAGACTTTTTGAGAGATTTATGTACTAAGGAAAAATGTATATTTACCCATGTGGTTACCATTTCTTGTGGTCTTCAGTTTGGGGGCTAGACCCGTATTTCACTTGTTAATATTTTCCTTTTCCCTGAAGAACTCTTTATCATTTCTTTTTGTGTGTGTGTTTTTGAGACAGGGTCTCGCTATGCAGTTCAGGCTGGCCTTGAGCTCACAACGATCCTCCTGCCTCAGCCTCCCAAGTGCTGGGATTACAGGCATGCACCACCATGCCTGGCTTTCTTTATAATTTCTTTTAGTGTGGATCTGCTAGTGAGAGATTCAGCTTCTGTATGTCTGAGGAAAAAATATTCATTTTACCCTTCAGCTAAAGATTTATTTTACTTTTGTTTTCCCAGCTGTTCCTGGGATGGAACCCAAGGCCTTTGTCCATGCTATGTGCGTATCATACCACTGAGCTACAGTCTGACCTGGCCTTCATTTTTTTTCTTTTTTAATTTTAAAGAGAATAGTAAAAAAAAGAACAATAACAAAGTACCCACATCACAGACAAAAACAAAACAAGTAAAAACATTAAAAATGATACAGAGTCTCAAAACAAAATGATAAGAATTAACAGTGGTTATTATATTGCATATTGTTATCTTCAACAAAATTACTCAGGTTACCAGATGTAAGCATGCAAGATTGATCAAACCATTAAAGGGAATAAAAAAATAATAATAAAAAAGCATTAGAGATGATACAGAGTTTCACTACACAAGATGGTAGGAATTCAACAATGGTTGTTATATTGCATGTTGTTGTCTTCAGATCTGGCCTTCTTTAAAAGATATTTTCATCAGACGCAGAATTCTGGGTTCCCAGTTTGATTCCTTTCCGTACATTAAAATTGTTGTTCCACTATCTTTTTGCTGTCATTGCCTTGCTTCCAACATAAAATCTGTGTTCAGCCTAAGTTCTTTACTCTGTATGTAATGTGCATTTTTTCTCTTGGTTTCTCCTCCTCTCCCTGATTTTAGTGACTTAATGATAATGCACTTTAGCATAACTTTAATATGCTTTGTGCTTTGAGCTTCTTGGGGCTCTGTGTTTGTCGTTTGCATCCAATTTGGAAAAGTTTTAACATACTGGACAAGTGCTCTACTGCTGAGCTACAGCCCACCCTCAAATATTTTTTTTTGTTTGTTTCCACGTTTCCCAAGGACTTCTATTACACATATATTGGACCATTTGAAGTTGTCTCTTATCTCACTAAGGCTTTGTTAATATTTTCCCCTTTGTTTCCCTCTAGATTTTATTTTGGATATTTTCTATTATTATATCTTCATATTCAGTAATCATTTTGTTGTTGCTGTTGTTGTTTGTCATCTAATCTGCCACTAACCCTAACCAGTTTTTATTTTATCTCTCACATTGCAAATTTTGACTTTTTTTTTTTTTTAAGCGTATTTCATGTATTTACCTAACTTTTGGACCATATATGATAACTGAAATACTGCTGTAATGTTCTTATTTGTTAATTCTAACAGATCCATGTTATTTCTGCTGTGATTTCAAATAATTCATTTATAGTCCCACTGTGGCTAGTATGCTCCAGTTTCCTTTCCTGCCTAGTCATCTTTGATTAGATTACAGACAATGATAATTCTGCATTGCTGAATTCTAGATATTCTTGTATTCCTATTAGAGAACTTTGGGGACACAGTCAAGCTCGTGGTGAGCAGCTTAACTTTTGGGTATGGCTTTTTAGATTTGTTAGGCAGGCCCACAGCAGTGTTCAGTGTAAGGTCAACTTTTACCCACTGGTGAGACCCAACCATTCTGTGTGTTCTACCCAGTGCTCCTTGAATCAAAAAATTTTTCAGTCTGTCTGACAGGAAACTGTTTCTGAGGTCTGGGTACTGTTACCTTTACTTTGTTCACGGGTTCTTCTCTTGTGTTTCTTTAGAGTCGTCCTAGGGCCTCTGTTGCCTCTGCTTGGGCATTTGCCTTTCTTAGTTTAGTCTTTTGTTTCGATGGCGCACATTCTCGACAGCCTTCCTAAGTGAATGTGTATAAAAAGGGAAGTCTCATGGAGGTGTGGCTGTAGCTGCAGCCCTGGGAGCAGAGGCAGCAGTGAATTCCAGCCAGCCTAAGCACATAGTGAGACTCTCTCTCCAAAAAAATTTAAAAAGTCGGGCATGGTGGTCCACATGTGTAATCCCAGCACTCCAGGAGGCTGAGACAGGAGGATTCAAAGTTTAAGCCCTGCCCAGGCAATTTAGCAGTTTAAACAAGATACTGTCTCAAAATAAGGTAGTGGTGGGCTAGGGATGTAGCTCAGAGTGAAGGCCCTGGGTTCAATCCCCAGTACTGCTAATAAAATAACAATAATAATAACAATCTTAAAAGTAGACTATAAACTTGAATGTCTTTATTTCACATTAGATTAGTAATTTTTCTGAGTATGTAATTTTAAAGTAGAAATTCTTTTCCCTCAAAAAATTAAAACTGCCGGCTGGAGTGGCGCAAACCTATAATCCCAGCA